ACTTTGTGTAGTTTGTGTAGTTCGTGTGGACGGTGGGGGAGCTGCAGCTACAGAAAGAGTGAAAAATCCATCTCTTCGTTTAGCCCAGGGTGTGAATCCAAGACGTTTCTCTTTGGAAAAGACGTTTCAAAATGAAATACGTGTTGTTTAAACTCCACACGACTTCACCAGAAACATTTGGATGATTTTACAAAACAACACAAAAGGTAAAAGAAGCCATTAACATGAAAACTACCACTTCGTGACATCACAAAGTGGAACAGAGCACATAACAAACACATGTGACTGAAACACAACTCCAGGTTTGTTTTTGAGGAGGAAACGACATTAGAACACGACTTAAAAGTTCACAGGAGTCAAGTTTGTGTTATATAAAACCTTTCAAGAGAATAACAATTATTTTATTTGTTTATTTAGCTGCTTTAAATGTCAATTGTTCCTTTTAAAACCTCCACCCTTGACAGAGACATTTCATTTGTGGATAATTGACTGAGAAACGAGCTTTACAGGTTAATCACTATAATTACAAAGCCTGTGTTGTGTTTAGACACTACTAAGATAATGTGACCACAGTGTAAGAGTTTAAGCTTTTGGTATGAATAAACTTCCTAAAAAGTAATAACGTCTCCATGGAGAAAAGCGTTTGACGGAACCTCGACCACAAACGTTACACAATGCAGCTTTAATGTTATGTAATGTGACTTTGGGAGGTTTTTAGACGCAAAAAAAAAAAATCACAAAAAAAAACTAGGGCTGTGCGAAAATAAAAAAATCTTAATTGCGTTAATCGTTCCTGTGATTAATCATGATTAATCTCGTGTTCTACGCAAAACTAATGAATGAATTCAAAAGTAGCGTACAGCGACGTTTTATTGGAAATGTAAATGAAAGTGTCACATTTGTTTTTCTTTCTACAGGAGCAGGACACGAGTCTGTAAAGTCCAGGTTTATTCTTCTTCCTTCTTACTCAAAAAAAAAAAAAAAAAAAAAAAAAAAAACAGTTTCAGTGCAGTTTGTCAGTTCCTAGAATTTGTCTTAATGAGTTGATTTCGAAAGTAAAGTTCATGTAATCAGCAGCAGGAAAAGAAAGTGTTCAGAGAAAATCTCAACTGAAAAATTCAAATCAAACTAAATAAGAAACTGAAATGTGCTTCCGCTGTCAGGGCTTTAAGGTTTCCTGTCTGATATAAAAATGAGAATCTCAGTCAAAAACATAAAAAAACTGAAACAGAACACACAACTAGAAAACAGAACACACAACTAGAAAACAGAACACACAAGTAGAAAACAGAACACACAACTAGAAAACAGAACACACAACTAGAAAACAGAACACACAAGTAGAAAACAGAACACACAAGTAGAAAACAGAACACACAAGTAGAAAACAGAACACACAACTAGAAAACAGAACACACAACTAGAAAACAGAACACACAACTAGAAAACAGAACACACAACTAGAAAACAGAACACACAACTAGAAAACAGAACACACAACTAGAAAACAGAACACACAACTAGAAAACAGAACACACAACTAGAAAACACTTCAATGCAGTTTGTCAATTCCTAGAAGTTTTTCTGATCAAAGTCAGTTCCTAAGACATGCAGGTATATTATTGTCATGGGCGGCAGTAGTTCAGTTGGTAGAACATTCGCCCACTGATCTGAAGGTTGGCGGTTTGATTCCAGCTCTCGACATAAAAAAACATCACAGGTTGAGAGTTTAGATCCACTGACCCACATGTTGCTGGTGTGATTCCAGCTCCCACAGATGAATGCTGTTGTTGTGTCCTTGGGCAAGACACTTAACCCACCTTGCCCACAGTGTCTGTGTGCACTGGTGTGTGAATGTGTGTGTGTTTCCTTGTTGTAAAGTGTTTTGAGCCTTGATGGTGGAAAAGCGCTTATAGAAAAATGTGAGCATTTACCATTATTACTGTTATTATTATGAAGAATCTCATCAGTGGCACTGGCTTCTCGTGGAAGAAAAGTGAGACTGGGGTTTGTGGGTTTTGCGACAAAGAGCGATGGACCTTGCGGTGGTGCCCCCAAAAGCTCTTGGTGCCTGCGCGCTGTGCGTTTGTGTGTGCGGAGCGACGGCTCTGACACGTTGCATCTCTGTTCGACCAAAGCCTCGCTCCACTTGTTTCACTGAATGATTTGCATCAGTGTTTTGGTTTAGGTGATATTTGAGACTCGTGAAACTCCGATGATAAAACAGTCAAGAGTTGCAGTGTCACAAATGACTGTTTTTGTGTCGACTGCACCGACTGAAGAACTTTAAAATGAAAATGTCCGTGTAAAAGTTCCTCAGTCTTCTTCAGGTTTGTTTATCCCGCTTTCTTTCTCTGTTTCCTGTGAGCGTCGCAGCAGTAAGAAACATTCTAGACTCGCTCACGTGGACTTTTTATAAATAAATAAATATAAATAAACACAAAAATAAATATAAATAAACAAAAATAAATATAAATAAATAAATAAATACAAAGAAAGGAGAAAAATCATTGTTGGCAATAATTAATTAATCAGTTAATGCAAAATTAATGCGTTAACGTGCTCGGCCCTAAAAAAAAAAAAAAAAAAAAGCATAACAAAATCTGAATTAGACTTGGACTCTGAAGTGCTGCTCTGGAGTCTTTTAAACTCTGGAGTGTGGACTTATCTCTTTTCTGTTCAGCTTGTTTCTAAATATGTACGGAATGACTCCACTCCCCAAAGCAAAACTGTACGTCTAGAAGCTGAAACTCCTTCAAAAGAATGTCACGAGGAGTTTTTATCAAGATGTTTACAGAGTCACGTACACATTTTGGGACGTTTTTGACAGATTCCAATATCGTCTGGTCATCGTCAACATTCTATAAACTCACATTACATCATCGCACTTTTTTCTGTTCTAACGCAGTTTCCTCATCACAAACAGACCTGGAGTTGTGTTTTGTTTCATTCACACATGTTTAACGCACAAACCCTGCACATTTAGGCTGAGTTCTTCTTTCAAGCACGGTGTTCCGCTCCACTGTGTTTTTAAACTCCATCAAGTCAATCAAGTTCAGACCCGGAGCTGCCAAACTCTACTGAATTAAGTCTACGTTTATTTGCTGACGGCCTGAACAGAAGACGCAAAAGTGTCGTCGCGTCTTCGCTTTTTATTCCGCGTTTGGTCGGGTGTTTTCGGGAGTAAATCTGCTGCAGACGGTGAAAGAAAAGTGTGTGGAATTGGATTGTGTGTGTTTGTAATTAAAGCAACAAGGGCGTCTTTGGACATACAGAAGCACGATGACGCGTGAGTGAACGAAAAAAATAACGCAAAAATAACTCACTCTACACTAAGACTAAATCTATCGAATATCAATGTCATGAAATCGATTTTTAGTTTAATTGTAGAATCAGTCTGAGTGAACAAGTTCCTTTTAGTTTGTTGTGTGACTAATGTAGCTCGTTGTTTCCTTTAAGTTTTGTTCTTTCTTCTCTTGATCGTTGTGGATAAATTGTTCATGAAGAATGTTTCTCCTTTGTGGAGTTTGTTGGTTGAAGATTTGGTGATGGGGCAGATTTATGAAGCATTTCCACACACATTTTACCACAGAAAACCATTAACCGGAAGTTCCTCAAACCTACAGCGGGACACTTCTGTGAAAAAAGTTTATATAGAGTCTGGCTCCAAAATTCGCCGCTGTAACTAGAGATGGGCATTCAATTAAATTTTCTTAATCGATTGTCGGGAGAACTAACGATCAATTTTCGATTGATCCTTAATGTTTTAATATTAAAATGATCATAACTATTATTGCTATCTGCACTAATCTGCATAAGCAAACTCAACTTTACGACATTTAAACCGTAACGACTCTAGAGCCACATCAGCCCGTTTGACATTAGAATGTGTTTAATGCAGATTTGTGCAAATCTAACAGAAACAAAACTTAAAACCACATGACTCATTTGCATAAACTAAGTCTACGTTCAGACTGCAGGGCTTAACGCTCAATTCAGATTTTTTTGTAAAATCCGATGTTTTTTCGAGGTCGTTCATATTTCCAGTTAAATGTGACTTGTATGTGACTCCAGTGTGAACATTAAACGGTCCAAAAGTGTCCCACATGTGACACTGGAGACACGACGACGTCAACCGCAGCGAGCGTCTCTGTGTTTACACAAGTTGAACAAACATGGACGCAGCATCGAGCACCTGGAGATTTTAAAGTTCCTCTCGTACCGGAGCCACAACATGAACAACTTACTTGTTTTAAGGAGGAGATTGAGAAGGAGAAGGACGAGGTTTTTGGTCGTGGTGTTTTGTGGTGAGTGGAGATGTGCTTCACTTCAGTGACACGGAGTTCATTAACAATTTTCGCCGACTTCAGCGCAGAATAGTGACGTTTGTGTCTTGTTGATGACGTGTAGGTGGATGAATGCACTTTGTCCGTTCAGACTGAAGTCACATGTTAAAGATCAGATATGTATCAGTTTCAGGAGCACATATCCAAGTGTCCTGGGTCACATTTGAAAAAATCTGATCTGTGTGGTTCAGACTGACATTAAAAGATCAGATACAGGAACATAGAGACAAAAAATCTGATTTGGGTCACTTCAGGATACATTCTGAACGCAGCCTAAGCAAAGAAAAAAAAAACTTTTGTGTTGCTGATGCGGCTCAACTTCTGTCAGACTAAAGGACATGACTCAGTGGAATATAGGACGCACAGCAACCTAAATTTGGTTTGTTGATTAATTAACGTAAACAACGAAATTCTTACTGGTCAATTATCGATTAATCGACTAATCCTGCCCGTCCCGAGCTGTAACCGAACGCTGTGGGTGACGTCACTCTCACTTAGTCCACTTCTTTACACAGTCTGTTGTGTGCACTGGTGTGTGAACGTGTGTGTGTGTGAACGGGCGAGTGGTTCCTTGAAAGTGAAAAAGCGCCTATAAATGTATAAATTCCCACCTGAGACGCTCGCTGAGTCTGACGTTGCTGTGTCCTGCTGCAGAACGCGCTGGTGTCCTTCAAAGAGCTGTGTGGGCTGTCGGCGGTGGCCAACCTCAAGCAGAGTCTCCTGGCCCTGTGTCCTCGGCTCTCAGGACCAGACGGAGCTCCTCTGCTGCTCTTCAACCTCTCGGACCAGTACCCCAGCCTGGAGCCTCAGGGCCTGCTGCCGGACGTGCTGCGCAAAGTGGTCACCTCCTACGAAACG